GCAATCTGGTGGATCCCATCCAAGCCTCAGCGAATGAGTGCAGGCTTGCCTGGTGATTCCTGAGAGCAGGCGGGAGGGAGGCAGGACTGACTGTACGGGAGAAATGCCTGGGTGGGTAGAAAGCCAGTTGTTTAGGGTGAGCTCGTAGAGAGGAGGATGTTGGTAACTCCATGCAGCCCGAGCCTACGGCACTATTTCACCTGACTTCTTACACAGAATTGAACTTTTATTTGCAGCCTAAGTGAGGGCCCAGGGAAAAGAGGTGGCTTGAGGAACCTTCTTGACTGTGATCCTTAAGCTTAAGGATTACACGAGGCCACACTGCTGAGGCGCACAGGACCTGTCAGTGGGTGTGTGAGTTCCATGGAAGTCAGGGAGCTGGGCCTATGATTAAGATTGGACACTTCTGCACTATGAGAAGGCATGAACATGCAGCAAATATTGTAGTTTCATTCATAGCTCTACTGAGCCTCTCACTAAATAAAGGAAAGACTGAATCCAGAAGGTGGTGAGAAAGGAATTGCAAAGGGGCTCAAGATAACTTACCAATCGTGTTTTCTCCTGTGACCCTGGCGATGGCAGCCATGCCCACGTGCCTCTCAATGTCTTTTACTTGCCTTTTCTAACCCTGGCTGGCTTGTCTGATGCACCCTGTAAATGTGAAGAGGAAACATGGGGCACATCACATGATCTGTTTGAACAAATCCCTGCAGTCTGTGCATCTAAGGTCCCAGGGAAGAGACAGAGCAGAAGATACATGTTCCCTGAAGAAATTGAACACATAGAAGGCAGGGAAGTGAGCAAAGTTCTGTTTGGAACCTAAATGAATATGGGCTTCCTCTGAAAGCACAGCATTTTGTGGAATGTAAGGAAGGTCAGGAATCTCCAAGGTGGCCCCAGTGACTAGGGCTTCTGACCTGCTGAGAGCCAAGAAACAAGAGCGAGCCTATGGGTGTCTGATTAGTGCAGACAAGTTAATAAAATAGCTGGAATACACAAAGAGAGGATGCAAAAGCGGGTCTGAGGGAAGGCATAAGAGGATTAAAGCTGCAAAAACAATCCAGTAATGGATTTCTCAAACACACCAGCCAACAGGCAAGGACAGGTGTCCTGTCAAACCATTTCCTGGTGAAACCTGATCCATCCTTCTGACTCAGGGCCTGCTCACCTCATTTGTAACTGAAGGGCCTGCCCCTGACTCCCAGTGGGGCTCTCTGAGCAGCCCGGAGACTGGCCAGGAAGCCAGCTTTGCAGACAAAGGGGCCGGGGACAGGCTGCTTTCCTTCACATGCAGGCAACTGCATCTCTCTGCATCTGCCTCGCCTGGCGGCTGACGAGGCTGGCACTGCGCATGAAACTTCACCCATCTCTGTCCTCCCTACTCCAAAACACTAGAAAGGGTGCTCTGATTTTCAAGTCGGTCATCACTTCATTACTCTGTCTTTGATCCCTTAGTGAAACTCAACTTTTGCTCCAGCAGCCAATTTGGGAGTTTGTCTAGTGAAGCAACAGCTAAGGCTTACGTTTAGGAGGCACAGGGAGAGGACAGGGCCAAGGACTAAACTTCTGCTTATTTGTTCTGACACCAGGAAGGTTTGCCTGCCAGTCGACCCCCGTGGGGAGCTGGGTGCCCAGCTGGGTGTCCTCGGTCCTGCCTGCATGGCTGTTGTGCACATGTTGGCATCAGAACAGAGGGCTGTCTGGCCACATGGCTGACCGGTGCCCAGCTTTGTGCCTCCCCCACTGCACAGCCTCCTGTCTCCAGCCCAGCAGTTGTCAGAGGTGCAGAGGGTGCCAAGAGGGGCTTAAGGAGGGCCTGGTATTTCTGGGGCTGGGTGGGTGAGGGGGTTGCACGGAGGAGCGTGCTCTGCTCCTGCCTGGATAAGCCCGAAATTGCCATGGGGCAGGAGCCCAGGCCATTAAGATGGTGATGGCATTCTGGTGCCAGACTCCTTTCAGTTGCTCACGCCTTTCTTGCAAAACGATCTGTTAGGTTTAAATATATTCTTGCTCAAGGCAAATTTCCTTGGAATGAGGTAAAGATAAGGGGGAGGGTAGGAAAAAACTCAAAAACTCTTAGTGGAGTATTTTTAGATTTATTAGACCATTGAAGGGAGTGCTTCTTAGGGATGGGGGAATATTCCAGATGCCCTTGAGCTCACAATACTCACAGCTCGCTCTGTGGGGCGCCTCCTGGCTTGGCAGGTACACGTGCCCTGTGTTGAGAACTCTGAGGCCTCGGCATCGTTTAAGTGCCTGGCTTTGGGAAGCAGTAGCCATATTTAGCTAGAACACACTGAGCTCAGGCAATCCTCCCCTTCCCACAGTCCATATCCCCTTCTCTCTGAGAGGAAGTGCATCCTATGTCTTGGCGGAGAGGCTCACCCAGGACTGGGCCGTCATTTATGGGGCCCAGTGCAAAATGACAATGCAGGGTCCCTTGTTCAAACATGATGAAGAATTTCAAGATGGTGACAGCAGAGCATTAAACCAAGCATGGACCCCAAGCACGGGGCCCTGTACAACTGGGCATGTTACACGCCCATGAAGCTGGCCTTGGGCTCAGCCCTCTTCCAATGCAGCGGTTCTCAACCTGTGGGTTGCGACCCCTTTGGGGGTCGAACGACCCTTTCACAGGGGTCGCCTAAGACCATCAGAAAACACATATATAATTAATATTGTTTTGTGATTAGTCACTATGCTTTAATTATGTTCAGTTTGTAACAATGAAATTGGGGGTCACCACAACATGAGGAACTGTATTAAAGGGTTGCGGCATTAGGAAGGTTGAGAACCACTGTTCCAATGTATTCAATGAGGATTAGCGAGCATTTGCTATATTCTGCATACTGGGCAGCGGGCTTGGGGTTGGAGGCGTGGAGTGCAAAATAGACTGCTCACTAGAAATTTACAGTTTAGTTAGGGTCAGATATCATGCACACAAAATTAAATAATGATGAGATCATTCTTCTAAAGCCCAGAAGGCCTTAAACAAATAATGGGCTTTCTCAGAAAGCACTTTTAGTCACCTACGCAAAGGAAGGGGTCGTGAGGCTGGCCTTCCTCGATCCACAGGCATCACGTGGTGGGCCTGGAGAATGAAGTGGAGTAAGAGAAATGAATTGGGCAGGCTGTCATTGGTTTTGCCACGCCACTCTGTGGACAGCAGCACGCATGTCTTACTCCACATTTATTGGACCTATTTTACCTCTTTCCTGTGACCCCGGGAGTAACCTCTCAAGGAACGTTCTATTTTCAAAATAGCCACACTTAGATAAAAGGTTGGCCGAACTTGGATAAAAGGTTCCTAGGACATGGGCCGTGCTAGGCCCTTATCCTTGAGCTCACAATGTAGGCCAACTCAACTAGCACATCTGAGTTCACAGGCAACAAACGGGCCCCTTGTACCTGATGGAGGGGCCAGCTCTGAGACGGTCATTTAATCAGTCATTCAACATCACTGGGCATCTACTTGGCCAGGCCTAGGTTAGGTTCAGAAAACATGTATGAAGACTTGGCCCTGCCCCTAAACGGCTCACAATCTGATATAGTGATCAAAGGGACAAGCATCCTTTCATAGACACAGAAGGGCCCTCCTGCCCTGGCTTGACTTGGCTTGACTGAGAGCTTCTGGAAAGTTCCATTGAGTGGGATCCTCCTGAGCCGGCTGAGTGCCTCAGTCACCAGGCTGTCCTCTGGCGACAGTAGTTTGTTTTTAGTAATTATCTCTCCTCTCAGACACCTGACTCCCCCTGCTCCGGTGGCCTTCTCTGGGTCTCCAGTGGAAACAACAGCAGCAGGTGGCGTTGTGGTCAGCTCCCACAGTAGTATTGTTCTCAGGAGCTGAGCAGAGGTGGTGTGGTCAGCAGTCAGTGAAGGTGCCTCGAGGGTGTTTTCTAAGTCCATTATGAAGAGTGGGTAAACACTAGTAATCTCATCTCTCTTATCTTCCTCTCCATCCGTCTTATTTCCTCTCTCAAGTTAAATTCAGTGACAGTTCTGAAAACCGAATTTGGAATGTGGTTTTGTTGCACAAATGGCCCATTCTGTTCAGCAGCATCAGTGATTCGGCTCCTAGAGAGACAGTTTTGTGGTTTGGACTCTTGGGTTGATTGGGAAGCATCTGGCTCTTGTTCCAGATGGACCTCCATCCTCTCTCAGCTTAGATCCCAGTCTTCTTGCCAGCGTGCCAACCCAGGAGAGAGCCACTGTGCTGCCAGGGGCTGCAGCCCAGGGTCAGGGCCCTCAGCTCCCCCGTATTCCCCTGCCATTAAGCCACACCAGGGAGACCCCTCTTTGCCTTAGAAACCCTGGGGGCATCCACAGCTCCCCACCCCAGCCCTGAGAAGGTATTAGCCATGATGTAGAGCAAGCATGTCAAACTCAGGGGCTAACATGGGCCAAATGAACGAGGCGTGCGGCCCACGGGCCATGAGTTTGACATGCTTGATGTAGAGTATAGCTCCTGGGTAGCAGGAACAACCCCGGTTAGAACCATGCTTGGTAACCGAGCGAAATCCTGGGCCTCTCACTTTTCACTGTGGATGTCTGGGAAGAACCAGGGAAGACCGTTCTTGAACTGGAGGAGACATCGGCATTCTCTTTTGTTGTTCCTTCTGAGCTCTGCCAGGACATTTGTGCCTTCACCCTAACCAGGTTTAGTAGGGCTGGTGGGCCTGGTCAGCTTGCCCCCATGTCTCAGTGTAACAGAGAGTCTGGTCCGCATCACAGGCTCCACCTGAAGGAATCTCCATGTCCACCCCCACCCTGCAGCTCATATGTACCAAGTTGAACTCCAATGCAGTGATGAAGGCCACACAATCCATCCTTTAAACTCCCCTAGACAACAAAAGGTAGAGGAAAGACTCACAGAGAGCCCCCAATGTGAGGTTTTACAGCTGTTTATTGAGACTAAAGACATCGAGACATAAGCCACCCTGGAACATTTCATGTCTCCTCCATCAAAGCCCAACCGGCACCCCCCCCCCTTCTCTCCACAGATCTCCAGGACTTCAAGTTAGACGTGCAGCATGTGATTGAAGTAGATGAGGGGAACACAGCGGTCATTGCCTGCCACCTTCCTGAGAGCCACCCAAAAGCCCAGGTCCGATACAGTGTCAAACAGGAGTGGCTGGAGGCATCCAGAGGTGAGCAAGCAGGAGCCCAGAGGCCAAGGCCGGGGGGAAGCTGGCCATCCCTGTCTTCGGCCTTGATATTTAGCCCTGTGGGATCCTGAAGGGACTGGCTCCTGTTACGGAGGTCTTCCGCCCTGTCTGAGGAATGTCTTTGCTCTTTGAGGCACTGGATGATGTTGCTAAGCTGCACCATTTGGTCAGGGCTGTCAGCATAGGTTCCAGATTTCCCCCATGTGAGCTTCCGGCCACCAGGCCGACACAGAAAGGCTGCCGACAAACCCAGCCGCCCCTGCAGCTGCAGCGTGGGAGGTGGAGCTCGTCCCCACACAGCAGAGCAGTCTTCTTATGGAACTTGAGTTTCTCCCTGTCCCCATTTTCCTAGTAATGCAGCCCTCTCAGGGCGACGGGGGGGGGGTGGGGGGTGGGGGGGGGCGCGAGCTTTGGTCTCCCCGAGTACCAGTTGGGGGAACAGGAAGCTTCATCCACAACTGAACCTGTACGCTAGGGCAAGTAGACCCTACTGACTGGACCCCACAGCTCAAAATGTGTAACTTTAAAAACATATACATTTTAAAATATTTTATTTACGTTTTCTGGTTATGAAAGGAATGTATGTTCACTATAGAAAATACAGAAAACTGTTTTCTGGAAGGGTAAAGACCCGAGTCCTGCCCCTCGAAATACGTGGAGGCTGCGGGAAGAACATCGTTCTGCAACGTCCCCAGCGGGAGCCTGGAATGGCCCCTAGAGGAAGCCTGCCCAGCCCACAGGGGCCAGAGCTTCTCCCTATTCTGTCTGATATTTGCCTAAGGAGCTCATACCCAGGAGCAGGCTGGTGCCAGGCTTAGTGAGCCCGGGGTATAGGGATACCCCGACTCCCAGGGCAGGCCACCAGGAGCTTGGAGTGGAGGGCTGGTGATTCGCCTGCCAGGAAGCTGGACACCACTGGTGTGTCCAGCAGCATGAGCCGATCTCCTGCTGAGAGAAGCCGAGCCCAGCCCTGCCCCCCCCACCTCAGCCCCCCTGACACCCCTGGCCCAGAGCACACAGCCCAGCAGGCCAGTGATGCAGAGGGGAGAGCTTCCTTGGCGTTCATGGAGAGCGTGGGGTTGGGGTCAGAATGTTCTCCCCGTTGCAGAAATTCAGTAGTGAGGTGGCTCAGAGCTGCGACTGACAGATGATGGCAGGTTCTGAAGTGAAAGCCCGCCCTCCTGTGGGAATGACCTCTTAGCTCCCAGGGGTGCATCAGGGCCCCTCGAGCCTGACAGCGGCCGAGGCAGCACCCGTTGGGCCACTTTACAAATAAGGGAACCCAATCTGTGAGGTTATGACCTTGCCCAGGATCACACCGTCAGTACAGGCAGGTCCAATGCCTGAGTCCAGGTCTGGCTGACCCCATTTCCTGCTGCCTTTCGCCAGCTTCCTGACGTGTAAAATGCTCTTCCACAAATCTGTGGACTGACCTGGGGGGAGTTACCAGCCGGTTAGCTGGTTCCTTAGTTGTTTCGTTCCCTGACATTCTGTCCCCCTGGCTTCCAGGTTTTATAGGAGAAGAGCACTTGCGGGGGTGGGCTTGCTGGGACTCAGGTGCACATCTCGGCTCCTGCCCCCCCATTTGTGGGAGCTGTTGGGTGTAGTGCTTTAGGCCCAAACTCACCCATGTTCCCTTCCTGTTCTTTCCTCAGGTAACTACCTGATCATGCCCTCGGGGAACCTCCAGATCGTGAACGCCAGCCAGGAGGACGAGGGGATGTACAAGTGCGCCGCCTACAACCCGGTCACCCAAGAAGTGAAGACCTCGGGCTCCAGTGACCGGCTGCGCGTGCGCCGTAAGGGGCGGGGCCTCTCTGGTGGAGGGAGGGGCCTGGGCTCCAGCTTTGTGTTCCCCGAGTGGGGGTGGGGGTGAGGGTTGTGGGGCTCCAGCTAGTGCAGTGGTTCTCAACCTTCCTAAGGCCGCGACCCTTTAATACAGTTCCTCATGTTGTGGTGACCCCCAATTTCATTGTTACAAATTGAACATAATTAAAGCATAGTGATTAATCACAAAAACAATATGTAATTATATATGTGTTTTCCGATGGTCTTGGGCGGACCCCTGTGAAAGGGATCCTCACACAAGGCCCTGGTCCCCAACGCTCTCCTTCCCCTCCTCCCCCTCCAGGCTCCACGGCAGAGGCCGCCCGCATCATCTATCCCCCAGAGGCCCAGACCATCATCGTCACGAAAGGCCACAGTCTCATCCTGGAGTGTGTGGCCAGTGGGATCCCGCCTCCGCGGGTCACCTGGGCCAAGGATGGGTCCAGTGTCGCGGGTTATAACAAGACGCGCTTCCTGCTGAGCAACCTCCTCATCGACACCACCAGCGAGGAGGACTCGGGGACCTACCGCTGCATGGCCGACAACGGGGTCGGGGAGCCTGGGGCGGCGGCCATTCTCTACAACGTCCAGGTGTTTGGTGAGTGTCTCCTGCAGACCTTCTTCTCCTTGACCTTCTCTTTGGTCTGCTTGGCCTGTCGAGAAGCTCCTAACCCCAGCTCAGGGTCACGTCCCTTCTGAGAGGTCACGTGCCGAGTGAGTGACAGGAGCACTGAGAGGTGGAGGTCCTGGATCGCAGGGACTAGGGTAGAGGGCTGACTGCCCCTCGGTGCCCTTTCCTGCTGTGGCTCTGGTGGCGGAGACGGAGGCCTTCCCTTTCCTCTGTCAACAGCCAGGGGAAAGGGGGAGCTTTCCTCTGTCAACAGCCAGGGGAAAGGGGGAGCCTTCCTGCCTGGCACGGACGGGGAGACTCCGCCTCTCTCACCCCTGCTCTGGTTTCCCGGCAGAACCCCCCGAGGTCACTGTGGAGCTGTCCCAGCTGGTCATCCCGTGGGGCCAGAGTGCCAAGCTCACCTGTGAGGTGCGCGGGAACCCCCCGCCCTCAGTGCTGTGGCTGAGGAACGCCGTGCCCCTCACCCCCAGCCAGCGCCTCCGACTGTCCCGTAGGGCCCTGCGCGTGGTCAGCGTGGGGCCTGAGGACGAGGGCGTCTACCAGTGCATGGCCGAGAATGAAGTTGGCAGTGCCCATGCCGTGGTCCAACTGAGGACCGCCAGGCCAGGTGAGTGCAGCACGAGGGCCAAGAGTGGAGTGAATACTCACAGAACCCTTCTCTCCAAGGGAATCTAAAATAGAACCCCGATGTGTAAAACCAATAAAAGTGGCTTTCAGTTGTAAGTTCAAATTTATGTTAACTTATTAAAAAGAAGTGCAGGTTTTCACTAGTGAAGATGACCCATTTAGCTGTTGTATTAGAATTTAAAAATATAATTTAATTGTTTTGTAGAATCTGTGGGTTCATAGGGTTCCATGGAACCCAGTCTGACAACCCCTGCTCTGGAGCAAAGGAAAGCAATTGTATTGTTAGCTTGATTCATTTCCATTGACACCTGTAGTGACTGAGCAGTTACTGTGCTCAGCACTGGACTAGGTAGCCTGGGGAATACAGAGAAACATAACACAGAATTAGCCTCAGGAATTTTCTCATGGAGGAGATAAAATATGCAGAGGAAATAATTGGAGAAAAATACAATGACAGAGAATGAAATGCTAAATCGTCATTGTCAGATGCCAACCTCCCGTGGGGCAGGCAGAGTCCGTGGGTGCTCCCTGAAGCAAGTGCTGCCCTGGCTCCTCAGACTCTCAGGGGCGTTTACAGTTGGCTTTCCATCTCCCGTTTCCAGGTCAGTGCAGTGGAGAAGGAAAAGGCCCGTGTGTGCCGTGTGCTAAGACTCCCCAGTGTGGGGCTGCCCCCAGCCCCAGGGTTAGGCATGAGAAAGAGGGCACGGGGTTCCTGCACCCCAGAAGCAAATAGATAGTTCACTTCAGACGTGGAGTCCGGAACACAAACAGGTTGCAGACACGCTTGCCTGTCATGCCTGGGCCACGACAAGAAGCCTGGATGTGGGCACCAGACTGCCTTTCCCTACGGAGGGCAGGGGCATGACCCTCTCGCCCGTGGAGCCTGTTGAGTGGGCCGATGGCCATGTCAGTCCTGCCCTGAGGGCTCTTCCTGCCCGGCAGGTCTTCTCTCAGCTCAGCAGGTGACCAGGGGACTAACACCCTCTTCCTTCCCTGTCTTTCCTGCTCCAGGCACAACCCTGAGGCCATGGCCCGATGCTAAGCTGGACACTGCCACACCTCCCGTGCCACCCTCCAGACCAAGAAGCCCCGACCAGATGCTGAGGGGGCACCCAGGGCTCCCGAGGCCTCCAACGTCGGTGCAGCCAGCTTCCCCGCAGTGCCCTGGAGAGAAAGGGCAGGTGGCGCCCGCCGAGGCACCCGTCATCCTCAGCTCGCCCAGGACCTCCAAGACTGACTCTTACGAGCTCGTGTGGCGGCCACGGCATGAGGGTGGCAGCCGGGCACCGATCCTCTACTATGAGGTGAAACACCGCAAGGTATGGTGCCTGGCATTGTGCCCACCTCGTCTCAGGCTGGGCGGGGGTCTCTGTTATCTCCCTCCCCCTGAGCTCCCGCCGCAACCTGGACGGCCAACCCCACTACTGGTCACGACCTCCCGTCTCCTCCAGGGGACTTTCCTACCACCTCCAGGAAGAGGGTGGTGCTGGGCATTTAGGACCCTACGAGGCCCAGGAAAAAGCCATGCCTTTGCCTCCACGTCTGGGCTTCATGCACAGGCTTCCCGGAAGCTACCACCACCAGCTTCTAGTCCCAGAGGGAGCGAACTGTCTCCCTGTTAACCATCCCCGGTCCTCCCCTCCTGGCTCTGCCATTTGTTGTTGATGTTGTTCTGTTTTTGAAACAAGCTAAGCTCCGCTGGGTGCATACCTGCAGGAACCCAGGCCTGGTGAGCGAGCTCTAAGCCAGGAAAACAAACATTTGTGAACAGTATTTCTCTGAGGCCTGTAAAGCACCCTCAGTTCTCAGACTCGTGGCTCGGGTTTGACAGGCAGGCGTTTGAGCTGGAAGCACATCGAGTTGCTCAGACCTTGACAGAGGGGAGTCTGTCCCGTGGTGTTTGGGGAGCTGTCGGGAAGGACTCCGGCGCTGACGGGGTCTGGGACGGAGCCTTCCAGCCCGCCGTCCTGCACGCTGTGTCCTGGGAAGCAGAAAGGGTCCCCGGGCTGTCACCCTCACTCAGCGCTGCATTCTCACTTGCTCCGACCCTGCAGTTCCTGCAGGAGGATGTCCTTGCAGTCCGTTTCCGATCGCCCCACGTGCATGCTGCCTTCCCTCTAAGGTCATTAGACAGTAGGCAGTTATTGTTTTCAAATGGATTTTTTAAAATCTTACTTGATAAGTAACGCGTTCTAATGCTAGACTTTCTTATGCATTCATATTTTTTTTGCTCATGAAAGTGCTGTGTGCACTTGGAAGAAGAATTTGGATAATATATGAACGTGGAACTAAAAGTGTTTATCAACTCTTCTTCCCCATCTAAAAATGAAAGCCAGGCCTGCGAGGAGGAAGATCTGGCTGTGCGGAAGCCGTTTCCCCCACTGGACATGCGGCCTCTCTGTGCCTGTCCCCTGGACATGCTCAGGACAAGTCCACAGAGACTCTGAGGGGGGTCAGAAAGACACCTCGGGCAAAGCTGCCTCCCAGGGCGGGGGCCAAGGGCAGGCAGTTCCTTATTTGGTGCTCGGCCTGCTGGCCACCTTATTGCCAGCCAGCAAAGGAGGTGAATACATTTTTAACAAACAGCAGCATTGTTCAGCCCAGGTTACGGGGCAGGGCTGGTCCTAATCATTGTAACTGGACACCTCCACCTCAGAGCTGTAGACAAAGATCAGGGCAGGCCAGACGCTCGTGGTCCCCAGGAGATGGCAACCAGCATGAGAGCAAGAATAATATTTTTCAGGCCAAGAGGTGGCCACCAAATTGCCTCGCCAGAGGGCAGGCTGGCAAAAGCCGGGCATGGCGATCCGGAAATGCCAGGCTGGGGTGGCACCCAGCCTCTCGGTGTGTGTGACAGTGACTAATTACCGTTCCATTTCTTATTTTCATTTCTGGTCCCAGTGGCAGTGTGAGGCCAGGCCTGGGAAGTGAGCAGACACTGCCCACTGGGCCTCACTTCTATCGAGCCAGCCTGTGGGGCACTTGGAGCTGTTAGGTGGGCACGGCCGCGGCAGAAATGATGTCCCAGAAGCAGTTCCTTTCTTCTGGGACTAACATCTTCAAGATCCTCACATCAGAAAGAATTTGGACATAAAAATATCAGCATTTGGGTTGTTTCTTCAGACCCCTTCTCTTGCGGGAGCCTGCGAGCCTTTCAGTGCTTTTTCCCCTTTTCACACGGGGGAGTGGCTTCATTTCCTGGTGCATCTGCAGAGCCTGGCTACTGTGTTTGGGTTTCCAGCACCGCCGGGGATTCTCAGTTTGTAAAATCTTCTCCCCCTGGAACAAATCCTGGAAGCCTGACATTAACGAGCCCGGGCCCTGCCTGGCCCGTGAATAGCAGGGCTTGTTCTACTTTGGAATATTCTTCTTGGGACTCAGAGCTTTCCTGGCAGCTGTTTAGTTCCTTCAGCAAACCACACCTCAGGCTCCAGCAGGCTCTCTGAGACGTGCACGCCGCAGTTAGGTCTGTCCTGGAAGGTAGGGTGGCTGAGAGCAAGCAGCCTGGCCTCTGAGCATCGCCCTGAGCCTGAAGCGCCTGTGTTGTTGTTTTTTCTTTAAAGAGCTGGGAATGTGACGCCATTACTATTCATCCATAATCCTGACAGCTCATCCACACTTTTTAAGTTCTAAGCAAGGACTGAGGGCAGGAGCAGAAAAGGGAGGATTGAGATGGCGGAAACCTCACAGAGCGGAGGGTGTGGGGCCGTAGGGAGAAGGGCCAGGCATTTGTTGGGAATCTACTGACCACCCAGTTCAAAGCTCGACACTTTACACAAATCACCAAATTTAATCTTCAGAATCACCTGAGAGACATTTGCTTCATTTTACAAATGAAAAGCCTTGGGATCAGAGAGGTTAGAGAACTTGCTTATGTTACACAGATAGTAAGAGAGACAATCAGGATAGAACCCAAGATTTTCTGGCTCCCAGATTGTTTTTCTTTCTAAAGAGGTTAAGATTGTGAGCATGCACTCACTGGGGCTGTGGCCTTTGGCAAATTACTCCTCTCTCTCAGGCTGTTGTCATGAAAGCACTGTATAGCATATATAAAGTGCTCCATGCCTAGCACCTGATAAATGCTCAGCAAATGCAGCCATTCTACTGGTACTGCTACTTTTACTATCATCCTCATCTTATCTATTCTAATAATATAGGAATGTGCAAATTGGCCAGGACACCGCCATGTAACAACCAATCAGGACAGGGGCGGGGCCGTGGCGGAGAGCTCTCAGCACACCTGCACCAGGGGTCCGAAGGGTGTGGAGAGGAAGGGAGAGCAGATAGGCAGTTAGGGTGATCAGGCCATGAGGGGAGCGCAGGAGGGGGGAGCAGTTAGGCAGTTAGGGGGATCAGGCCAGGAGGGGAGAGCAGTTAGGGGGATCAGGCCAGCAGGGGAGCAGTTAATGGCATCAGGCAGGCAGGCAGGCAGGCAGGTGAGTGGTTAGGAGCCAGTGGTTCCGGATTGCGAGAGGGATCCCGGATTGGAGAGGGTGCAGGCTGGGCTGAGGGACACCCTCTTTCCTCTCCGGCACGTGCATGAAATTTCATGCACTGGGCCTCTAGTTAGAATATAAACTGTTT